TCATTTTGCTTTTCCGGTTGGGTGTTTTTTGCTTCTTCGCATTTCAAATCTTTGACTTGATTCTTGTGATCCTCTGGTCTGCTGTTGAGAGTCTGTATAATATTCTTTATTTCAGTCAGTGTATGCTTAATTTCTAGTTGGCTCTTTATCACAACATCGAGGGTCTCATTAGATTTCTTGAGGATCTCATTATATTTATTGGCAGTCTCACAAGTCTTTTCGAGGGCCTTACTAAATTTATCAGCGGCTTCTAGACAGTTTTTGAGAGACCTTAAAAGTGTGGTTTTGAACTCTATATCCTCCATTTCTGTCATTTGTGTCCTGTTTCTTTGTCTCTGAATTTTTTATGCTTTCTTGGTGCACCCCCTTGTGGTCTTTGTGCGCAGTCTTGTTGTAGTTAAGCCTTGATTGTTGTAGGTAATACTGGGGAGATTTGACCTCCAGGCCAACTGGCTGTGAGAATCAGCTGTGTCTGCAGTGGGAGAACTTCTGTCCTCTAGGGAGGTGCTAATCTAGCCTTTGCCTGAGGCTATCCCCCCAAATCCCTTTGTGCAGGGCTTCGGCAGGGCGGGTCCCAGGGGATCAACAGGGCCCTATGCCGCCATCTTGGTTTCTCCGAGAGTTTTTTCAACAGGGTGGGGCAGCTGCTTCTGCCTTAGGCTAATTGTTACTTTTACTCTCTAAAGTGGCCTCAGGGCAAGATGTTTTCCAATAGGCTGTGTTGACTGTCTTCCCCCAAGGCAAGCCAGATGTCTATGTGGGAAAGATGTCCTCTGCCATGTGAGGGAATGACTCAGCCCAGGAGACTTGGGGTGTCTGCCTTCTGAGCTCTATCCCCCATGTCCCCAGTCTTAGCTTCTGCTCTCACAGCTCCAGTCCCCTTCACCCTCCCTCTGCCGGAGTACAAGGTGGGTGGTTCCACAGGGAATTTTGTGCATTGGCCCTTTAAGAGGGTGCCTGAACTTTCAGCTGCCACTCCCTGGAAGATAGGCCCCCACTGATTTCACAGCTAGATGTTATGAGGGTGCCCTCCTCAGTTTGTTGCTCTCTGCTGGGTAGCCCAGCTTCAGGATTAGATCCCAGAGTTCTCAGTGGCACCTCCCCCCCCCAACACACACACACAGCTAAGCTTTCTTTCTGGGACTTCACTTGCCATCTGTGGGTGCCTGGCCAGCCCTTTTGTGCCTCCGCCCCTCCTACCAGTCTCTATGCGGTCTCCACCTTCAGTCCTTGGGTATCAGGGTACTCTCCTGTGAGTTTTCCATTGATTATTCAGGAAGCCTTTCTGTATTTCAGTTGTAATTCCAGCTTGTTCCTGGGAGCATGTCCATGCAGCATCCTTCTACTCTGCTGCCATTTTTAATATTTGCCCCATCACCTTTTTTAACCATTGCTCTACCGCCCTCCCCTTGGCAACCATCAGTTTGTTCTGTTTAAAAACAGTCTGTTTTTTGTTTTATTTTGTTTGTTTATTTGTTTTATTTTGTTTTAGATTTCACATATAAGTGATATCATACAATTTGTCTTTCTCGATCTGACTTATTTACTTAGCATAATACCCTCTGGGTCCATCCATGTTGTAGCAAATGATAATCTTTTATTCTTTTTTATTGCTGAGTAATATTCCATATATATAATTGTGATTTATATGTCACAATTTCTTTATCTGTTCATAATTAACCTATATTTTCTCTGGCTGCGGAACTATGGATTTTTTTTTTCTATTCAACTTGGTATCTTTGTTTGTTTCCCAAAGAGTATGGTCATTATGTACTACTTTTGCAATCATAAAAATACACTAAATACTATACACACATGCCACATACACACACACACACACACACACATTAGTGAAAAAGAGACGGGAATATCTTCCCATACCACTTACCTCTGTAGAGAAGGCCTTTGCTTCCCCTCAGAGCTTTAAACAACTCTTGACATGGGTCCATTTTTGTTCACAAGTGGGCAGATCATCATGGATGTCAAACAGGTTATTATTGTCTACCCCTTAAATCAAGGTTGGTTTACCCATAGTTGGCAAACTGCGGCTCGCGAGCCACATGCAGCTCTTTGGCCCCTTGAGTGTGGCTCTTCCTAAGCCTTAGGAGCACCCTAATTAAGTTAATAACAATGTACCTACCTATATAGTTTAAGTTTAAAAAATTTGGCTCTCAAAAGAAATTTCAGTCATTGTACTGTTGATATTTGGCTCTGTTGACTAATGAGTTTGGCGACCACTGGTTTAGACAGTTAATTCAGAGAGGGAAGATGTGCCTCTTCCCAGGTGGCTGAAGTACCATTAATGGAGGGAAAGCTTTCACAAGGGTAGCCTTCTTTCCTGGGTAACCTTCTCAGTAGTTTGGGGGAGGGCATGGAGCCAGCCCACAAAGGAGTTCAGGGGCAGGGCAGTGGGAGCTGAAGAAAGAAGAGGTTAGTGCCACTGCAGACCTGCTCTAGCTCACAGCAGAGTAATAGAGAAACAAGAAGATAAGAAGAAAAAGCAGTGGATCTCTATGACCTTGGCACATTGGGACCTGAGTGGGAAATCAGAGAGAGCTTTTGCTATCTCCATGAGTATTTGTGTTCAGAGGCGGTGTTTATTTGAACCAGGCTGTTAGGCAATGAGTACTCTGACGTGCTATCCTGAACTCTTTGCTTTCTCCAATGTACCTTTTTCTTCTGCAATTTATTTGGTGTTTTGTAAAGTACTGGAAACCTTTAACGGCTAACTAAAGTTGTAAAGTAATAGTGTTGAAAACGCTGCAAAGAATCAACAGAAAAGTATCATGGTGAATATAAAATTCAAATTTTAAGGGGCTTTAAAGCTCCTAAAAAAGTGTTCAAAGTGATAGAGATCAACAGTTAATCTGGAATTGCTTTAGAGTTTAAAAGATAATAGGACACTGTGAGATATTTTACACCAATAAATGTGAAGATTTAGATGAAAGAATGACTTTTGAAAACATAGGACATACCAAACTAACTCAAAGTCTAAAACTCACCCACTCAAATTGGTAATTAGAAGCAGTTGGTGATTTTGGCAAGAATGGATTCAATGCAACACTAGATGGCTGGAGAATAAGCAGAGGCAGTAAGAATACACAATTCTTTTGAGGAGTTTTGTTGTAAAGGAGGCAGATCTAAATCTGCCACACATATGATCTTACACACACACACACACACACACACACACACACATTAGTGAAAAAGAGACAGGAATATATTCCCACACCACTTAGCTCTGCAGAGAAGGCCCTTTGCTTCCCCTCACAGCTTTACACAACTCTTGACATGGGTCCGTTTTTGTTTGCAAGTGGGCAGATCATCATGGATGTCAAACAGGTTATTATTGTCTACCCTTAAATAAAGGTTGGTTTGGACAGTTAATTCAGAGAGGGAAGATGTGCCTCTTCCCAGGTGGCTGAAGTACCATTAATGGAGGGAAAGCTTTCACAAGGGTAGCCTTCTTTCCTGGGTAACCTTCTCAGTAGTTTGGGGGAGGGCATGGAGCCAGCCCACAAAGGAGTTCAGGGGCAGGGCAGTGGGAGCTGAAGAAAGAAGAGGTTAGTGCCACTGCAGACCTGCTCTAGTTCACAACAGAGTAATAGAAAAACAAGAAGATAAGAAGAAAAACAAGTGGATCTCTATGACCTTGGCACTTTGGGACCTGAGTGGAAAGTCAGAGAGAGCTTTTGCTATCTCCGTGAGTATTTGTGCTCAGAGGCGGTGTTTATTTGAACCAGGCTGTTAGGCAATGAGTACTCTGACGTACTATCCTGAACTCTTTGCTTTCTCCAATGTACCGTATTTGCCGGCGTATAAGACGATTTTTTGGCCCTGAAAAATATGCCTCCAAGTGGGGGGTCGTCTTATACGCCAGGTACACTTCAGATAGACTGCCCATAGTGCTTGCCCCGTGCCATAGTGGCCTCCCGATGCCCGCCCACTTCATTCCACATACCGTTCAGGCATCAGTAGCGCTGCTGGGTGTATGCTCGGCTGTTATGCGATTTT